AAGGAGGGGGCTTTGTAGAAAACGAAGCGTTTGAGAGAGGCGGGGCATAGAGGACCTACAATAATGTACAGTATTTGAAAAATAATGTGTTTTTTGAACATTAAAGCATGTCAACATATTCTGTTACACCAAATACACAAAATAATGATCTTTAAAAAAGCATCATATGACCCCTTTAATTAGTTAATTTCTTCCTCAGTATTTTTGTCTTGTTTGTCAGTACAAATATCTAAACATTCTTTAATCAAGTTAAGTTGCTTAAAACAAGAAAATATATTTGCCAATGGAGTTAGAAAAACTGACTTATTATCCTTTTGAATTAAGTTTATTTTTATGAACCCACTGGCAGATTTTTTTTTCTTTCATTTTTTAAACATAAACTCACTTAATTTCGATACATTTATCTGAAAAGAAAGACTTTGTTTTACATTTTTCTTCTTAAGTTGATGTATTTTGCTTTAAAAATGTTAGATATTTGTACTGGGAAAAAATACAGAGGAATACATTTACACTTTTTGCAGTGTAAATATTACAGTATTATGGTATTTTGAAAGACACATTTAATCATGTACAAAATAATTTAACCTTAAATATCTATGAAAACTATAGTGTTTATTTTGAACAAATAGCACACTGGAGGCATAAAGTTTTTAAAAAGGAAAGTTTGAATGAGTCTCTACATTAGGCGGTTCAAGTTGAATTAATTGCAAAAATTTGTGCAGAAGAACAGCATTTTCTGAGGAAAATGAGAGGAGTTTTACAGTATTGTTGGTGAATAAAAGTATTAATTTCTTACTGAGCCCAAACTTCTGAGTGCTAGTGTATCTGTTTATTTACACATTACTTAGAGCAACCCATGTTCATTTGGCAGGTAATTGCAGTACTGATTATGCAGTACTGATACTAATATGTATTTTTTTGTCCCAGTGCTCCACTACGTGTGGTCTTGGTGCAGTCTGGCGATCAGTAGCCTGCAGCTCAGAGCGTGAGGAAGACTGTGCCAGTGTGAAGAAGCCAGAACCTGCCCGACGATGTATCCTGCGACCCTGTGCCACCTGGAAGAGTGGTAACTGGTCCAAGGTAAAGCCACGATTTCAAAACAAACTTAAATGACTGTATCCTGCAATGAACTGTGACGTCCCCCTTTCTTTAGTGTCCTGAAGGCTGTGTGACTGATACGAAGCATCGAGAAGTGCAGTGCTTCGACACTCAGAGCAGACGTCCATTGAGGCCTTTTCACTGCCAGGCTCTTTCATACAAACCAAACAGCAGTTTGCCCTGCAACACCCAGCCCTGCCTGCAGTGGATGTTCTCGCCCTGGGGAGAGGTGCACATACTCATGCTACAATGCAGAAAATACTGTTAATATTTTTTTTTTGTTCATATTTTGAGTTAGTTTTTATTTTTATGTTTTCTGTTTCAATTTTAATTTTGATAACATTTTTAGAAATTGTGTTGTCTTTTTGTCATTTTTGTTAATTTTTGTTTTTAGTGTCATTGATATACTATATTATAGTTTTTGTTATTTTGAATTCGTTTTTTTGTGTTTTTAGTGTCATTGATATACTATATTATAGTTTTTGTTATTTTGAATTCGTTTTTGTGTGTGTTTTTTTTGTGTTATTGATATACTATATTACAGTTTTTGTTATTTTGAATTCGTGTGTGTGTGTGTGTGTGTGTTTTTAGTGTCATTGATATACTATATGTGACCCTGGACCACAAAACCAGTCATATGGGTCAATTTTTTGAAATTGAGATCTATACATGATCTGAAAGCTGAATAAATATGCTTTCCATTGATGTATGGTTTGTTAAGATAGAACAATATTTGGCCGAGATACAACTATTTGAAAATCTGGAATCAGGGTGCAAAAAAATCAAAATATTGAAAAAAATCGCCTTTAAAGTTGTCCAAATTAAGTTCTTAGCAATGCATATTACTAATCAAAAATTAAGTTTTGATATATTTACAATAGGAAATTTGCAAAATATCTTCATGGAACATGATCTTTACTTAATATCCTAATGATTTTTGGCATAATCAATAATTTGATAAAAATCGATAATTTTGACCCATACAGTGTATTGTTGGCTATTGCTACAAATATACCCCAGCGACTTAAAACTGGTTTTGTGCTCCAGGGTCACATATTATTGTTTTTGTTATTATTTTGAATTTGTTTTTTGTTTTTTTTCATCTTAATTTTAGTTAAAGTTTTAGCAATTTTGTTGTGTTGTCATTTTTATTATTTTTTGTTTTTAGTATCATTGATATACTATTATAGTTTTTGTTAATATTTTGAAAGTTTTTGTTTTTATATTTTCACTTTAATTTTAAATGTATTACTTTTTGTTTTAGTGCTATTATGCTTTTTGTTAATATTTTGAATTAGTTTTTATTTTTATATTTTCACCTGAATTTTAGTTAAAGTTTTACTGAATTTGTTGTTTGTTTTTGTCATTTTTATTTGATTTTATTTATATTTTTGAAATATGTCTACAGTATATAGTTTTTTTTATTTTTATTTACTAGTTTTAGTTCTTTTTGTTTGTTTTTTTAGTTTTAATTATTTTAGTACTTTAAGTTAAAATAAATAAAAATGAGAAATGATGCCCTGGCAACTAACTGCAATATATATATTTTTTTTTGTTGTTGTTTTTTTTTGATGGTTTTAGTTTTAGTTAACTCTAATAAAGTTCTGACAGTTTTTTTCTTGTGATTGACAGTGCTCTAAAAGCTGTGGCCGCGGAGTGAAAGAAAGACGTGTGTACTGCCCTGAGTACCAGCGCTGCAACGTCACGCTCAAACCCAACAGCACTGAGTCCTGCAATCTGCAGCCCTGCACCAGCTGGGCGACTGAAGCCTGGGGTCAGGTAACGCACTGCCAAAACCTCAGTGTTCATTTATAGAAAGGAGTAAATAAAGTGTCTGGCTTGATATTGTGACAAATGCAATGTGATGATGGACACTACTTTTCAAAAGTTCAGGCTTAGCAGGATTTTTTTAACAAAATTAATAATTTTATTCAGCAAGGATGCATTAAATTGATCAAAAGTGACAGTTAAGATATTTATAAGGTTACAAATGAATTACCACCCCCAAATCATTTGAACTGTAGTTGATTTCCTATTAAAACAGAAAGTTGGGGTGGGATGAATCAAAGACTAACCAGCTATAGTTTCCATTCCATGATATGTGACTTGCCGGTGTTAGTCTGAAGTATGTGGTATTTATAATCAAGTGGGCGGGACGTTCTCATTCCAAAGAGCATTTTATTGGACAAAAATTGTTATACGCCCCTCCCTGAGCATCTGTGATGTCATCCCGGTTTGACAGTGCTCCAGAAGCTGTGGTGGAGGCGTTCAGAAGCGAGCGGTGAGGTGCATAAGTGAGGAATCCGGCGAGGAAGAAAAGACATCACTCTGTGCAAAAAACAAGAAACCTGACAGTGTGCAGAACTGCAGCCCAGAGGAGTGTAAAACTGATTTAGGTAAACTCTATTATATAATATTATGTTCTGTTAGTTTCATAATTGATGATAAGCCTACAGTGGCCTCTAAATGCATTTGGACACTTAAAAATGCCTGAATGTCATTGCATTTGATAAAAACAATTTCAAAATATTAATCAAAACTAGTATCTCGATGATACTATAATAACACCGATTGAGTCAGTTCTCCTCAAGTTCACACAGGTGACCTAGCAGAGAAACCACAGGTGTATTTCATTACATTAACTATCAACATGATCCACTAACATCCTGATCCACTATCAACAGGTTATTTTACTAAAACCCAACCAACTTCTTTTTCAGCTGTCTTTGAGCTTAATAAAAGTTATTTTCGTAACTTTGCAGATATTGTTTATGCTCAAACAGCAACATTACACGCTAACTAACGTTAAAAAAGTGAAATCGCAATCAACCACCCCTTTAATATTTTGTTATCTAATGCAATGACAATTTATACATCTTTAAGCATGGCTTACATGTGCCATTGTATTCCATTTTTATCCATGAAAAATGTGGTCTTTTTGTGAAAGACACCAAAAATCTTTTTCCCCAGGTACATACAAAACAACATTCTGGAAAATATAAAATTGTGCTAACATAAATAATTTTAATATACCTTCGCATGGCTTTATAGTTTATTTTTAATGTTAAAGCCCTTTTTTGTTATTTTGTTTCTCTTCTTTGCAGGCCTAGTTTGTAAGAAAAACAGCATGTCGACACGTTTCTGTGAGAAACTCAAGCTGCTGGGTCGCTGCTCGCTGCGCTCGATCCGCAAGCAGTGTTGTGTCACTTGTCTGATGTAACACTGCAGAGGTCAGGCTTGGGTCATTGACCAAAAGCACAAACTACTGGACACACTGCACGCAGAGGTTCATGGTGCTCTAGAAACGCAGACATCTGTCTCAAATATATGAAAAATATGTGGGTTTTACTTGAACAAAGGAATCCTTAGCTTTTGACGATGTGTTCCCTCCATTTGTCTTTAAATGCGTCTTGAAATACTTCCAAATACTTCAAGCTTTAGTTACAGGATTCAACATCAGTTAGACAGTTAACCTATATGTTATTTTTTGCACTCATTTTGGACTTTTTGTTGTTGTTGTTATTCTTCTTTTTAACCCAAGTCAAGAACTGGTTGAGCACACAGCAAGACACCTGTCTTTACCAACCCACTTTATATACAGGTGCATCTCAATAAATTAGAATGTCGTGGAAAAGTTCATTTATTTCAGTAATTCAACTCAAATTGTGAAACTCGTGTATAAAATAATTTCAGTGCACACAGACTGAAGTATTGAGATGCACCTGTATATATATATATTAGGGCTGCCCTCGACTAAAGATTTTTCTGGTCGACTAGTAGTCGTTCATTTTAAGCATTAGTCGACTAATCGCACGTTTATTAATAAACCATTTAAATCATTATGAGCCTTGAGATGCACCTGTATATATATATATTTTGTTTATATCATGGATCAGTTGAAAACTGCCATGAAGCGAGCAACAGTTTTTGCACGTACAGGCTGATATTCAGGTTATTCATTAAGAAAAAAGTAGTTGTTATTATCTGAAGTGTCATGTGACCACTGTCTGATGAACATTATGCAACGCTTTCACAGTCAAAATGTGCACTTCTTAAATTAGTGTAGTTTTATAAACTTGTTTTTCACAGATCTAAAGTTAATTCGATAATTTGCGGATATGTGTGCAGAATTATTAACAAATTAATCCAAGTTGCCATTAGACTGAAATTAATAGGCTGCATGAAAAATTTAGGGCATAAATTTGATTTTAGAGAGTTAAGGGTACTTTCACACTTGGTTCGCTTGCCTGGTCCGAACCCGAGTTCGATTGCTCACCCCTCCCCCTGCCCCCGCTGGACTGCGTTCATATTATTTTATTTGGGTCCGAACCGCGGTTCGTTTGCGTCATCAAGCCAGCAGCTGTTTACCCTGTTGCTTAGTAACGACGGCAAAATGCATAACATTGCTCTCTGCACTTTTAGATATTTACGTTTTTAAACCGTTCGTTTTGGTTACAAAGCTTCAGTACATAACGGCACTTACGTCTGCCTTACGAATGTACTGCAAATGCTCTAAAGAACGCTAAAGGCGAATAGAAATGAGATATACAGCTCTCTGTTTGCAGCGTGTCAGTCACGCTCGTCAGGAAAGCGAGTGAAACAAACACACATTTTTATCAAATAATACGTCATTAATAGCGGTTCACTTCCGCGATTTGGTACGATTGCGTTCACATCAGCAGCGAACCGTACCAGAGTTCACATGAACCGTACCCCAGACCACCCTTTTTAAGTGGACTCGGGTACGGTTCGCGGGTGCGCACCCGAGTTCGGAAGACAGAGTTCACATCATCCAAACGAACCGAACAATCGAACCCGGGTGCGCACCAAAAGTGCTAGTGTGAAAGCACCCTAGTCTCAGGGGGGGTTTTTTTGTGAAAGATGTTTTGAAAATTTGCATGGACAAAGCAAATACTATCACTAACATCTCGACATAAATTGATCTTTTTTTTTTTTTTTTTTTGCTACATTTGTTGATTATTTGTTTTAATTTGGATACTGCCATAAAAGCATTTCCCCCAAGCAGTTTCTATTTCCTGCTATATACATATGATGGCCTAAGATTCATCATTATAAATACAGAGAAAATTCAAAAAGGAAATGACTGTAAAGTAAGAAAAATATTAAAAAGTGACTCAAATGACTGTGAAATAACAGGCTGTATTGCATTAAGAGATGAGAAATGGTACTTTATAATCAGTATATATTTGTAACTTCATTGAACAACTTATGTAGTGAGAGTTCTTGTCAGTCAGTGAATCATATTTAGTGTTGTGATGAAAATGCAGGTATGAATATGTCAGGTACAAAAAAATCCAAAGGAGCCAGTAGCATCAGAATTTTTGAGCTTACAAAAGATCTGGTCTAGTTTAGTTTAGTTTTTTATTATTTTAATAAAAAAATTTTTTTACAACTTAACAAATTATAACCATAAATAGTTTTTTTAAATGAATCTTTACACAGGATCTAAGAAATGTTTTGCTGAAACTGTACTCATCCTCAGGCCATCCAAGATGGGTTTGTTTCTTCATTGTAACATATCTGGAGAAATGTAGCATTCCATCACTTGCTCACCAATGGATCCTCTGCAGTGAATGGGTGCCGTCAGAATGAGAGTCCAAACAGCTGATATAAACTTCACAATAATCCACAAGTAATCCACACCACTCCATTCCATCAATTAACATCATGTGAAGTGAAAAACTGCATGTTTGTAAGAAACAAATCATTAAGAAGTCCATAATCCATAATAACGCTTCCTCCAGTGAAAAGTCTATCCCCTGTTGTCCTCTCAAATCAAAATCCACCAACATATTTGTTTAGAGCTGTTTTGGACTGCTTTTGCTTGTAAACGGTGCTTAATCTGTGCATATTTCTCCCCTGATTCAGACAACTTTTTTTTTAACTGGAGATAGCAATATTATTAAAAGAGGACTCATATTTTGGCCAGAAGCAATGGTTTAATATTAAACACCATGGATTTGTTTCTTACAAACATGCAACTTTTCACTTCATAAGACATTAAGTGATGGACTGGAGTGGTGTGGATTACTTGTGGATTATTGTGATGTTTTTATCAGCTGTTTGGACTCTCATTCTGACGGCACCCATTCACTGCAGAGGATCCATTGAACAACTGATGTAATGCTGAATTTCTCCAAATCTGTTCAGATAAAGAAACAAACTTATCTACAACTTGGACGGCCTGAGGGTGAATACATTTCCAGCAAATTTTCATTTTTGTGTGAAATGTTCCTATATCTGCACTGTATTTGTGGTAGGTTTTTCTAGTTACTGTGCTTTTGTTACCGTCATTTGAAATATGGATCCATCTGTGTGAACGTTGTATTGGTGTAGCTCACGGGGATTCATGGTGCTGCAGACTTTTCTGTTGGTGCTCTGTGCTTATGAGGCAGGGTGTTCAAGCGTTTAAAGACATTGTTAACCAGTTAAATGCACATTGTCACTGAGGATGGAGGTGTTGCAGGTCAATCCTCTCTGGCCTTTAAAACAGGGCTGAACGTTTTATACTGCTGCTAAAATTATAAATAAATGCAGTCATGATGTGTGCAAGGCCTGTTGTCTGCCGTTTGATTTGCTTGATTGCTTTCAGATCATTCTGAGTCCACACTGTAAAACTTTACTGTAAATTTACAGGTATTTTCTAACAGTATTATACTGTATTTTTATAAAACAGTAACATGCTGTATATTTTACAGAATGTCCCGTCCCTTAAAATCCGGAATCGTTCGATTTGTCCCGTATTTTACAAAGGCCAACACATAAGTTATTTGAATAAACAAATAAGTATTTTGCACTGTTTATAATACTAATAGCAATTATAATGAAATCAGTTTCATAAGAAGTATTAGAGAAGCTTATTTGCATGTGATTTTGACGTCTTTGTTTCCATAGCGACGGAGTCTCCAGAGCGCGCGCCGTTAAAGCCCTTTCACACGAGCGCAGCATGCGGTAAACAAACCTGCGCGATTTAATACATGGGAGCTCACATCTGCCGTTTGAACACAAGACTCTCCAGATGTAGGGCTGAATGGGAAAGTTATCAATGTGTCTGTCCAGTAACTAATGATGAACGCGCAGTTTGCAGAGAAGCATTTCAGTTGTTCACGGTGGACTGTCTGACTTAAAGGGACAGTTCACCCAAAAATGTAAATTGTGTCATCGTTTACACACCCACAAGTTGTTCCAAACCTATAATACTGTATTTGGTAATTACAGTACAGAACTGTAAATGTTGTTTACAGTAGTAGTCCTGTAAAAATACAGAATGTGGCTGGCAACCCAGCTGCCAGTATTTTACTGTAAATTTACAACGAAAAGTTTTACAGTGCATGTATGAGATCCGAACTCTGTTTCAAAACACAGCGAGCCATCCTCAGAGGTCTGTATAATACTGTTAGAATTATTTATTGTTATTTAATTTTTAAAGAAATGAATACTTTTATTCAGCAAGGGGTGGATTAAATTGATCAAAGGTGACAGGACATTTGTGATGTTACAAAAGAGTTCAATTTCAAATAAATGCTGTTCTGTTGAACTTTATGAGAGAATCCTGAAAATAAAATGCATCAAAAATATTATATAGTAAAAACTGTTTTCAAAATTGATAATAAGAAATGTTTCTTGAGCAGCAAATCAGCATATTAGAATGATTTCTGAAGGATCATGTGACACTGAAGACTGGAGTAATGATGCTGAAACTTCAGCTTTGCATCACAGGAATAAATTACATTTAAAATACATTTAAATTGAAATAAGTGATTTGAAACTGTAGTAACATTTCACAATATTACTGTTTTTATTGTATTTTGATCAAAGAAATGCCGCCTTGGTGAGCAACCCAACATTTTGAACAGTATTTTTTCTATTTTTCTTAGTAGAATATCATGTTCTTAGCAATTTGCATAAACTATAGATAAACATAAACTATACTGGATTCAGTCTTTGCGTATATATTGGCGCAAATTGGTTTAGGAAACCAAACCAGATATTTAACCAAATACTGAAAAATAAATATGAACTTCAGAATGTCTTAGTATTTGATTTTTCTCAATTTTGTGTTAATGACAGCAGCACTATTGGCATGCACAAAACCAGATGATGTTCTCCAGCATGATTTGAGCTTCAATGGAAGCATATTTTTATTAATAACATTTTTTATCCTAAAATCTTATTTTTCCATATTTTAAAATGTAATTTATTCCTGTGATCAAAGCTGAATTTTCAGCATCATTACTCCAGTCTTCAGTGTCATATGATCCTTCAGAAATCATTCTAATATGCTGATGTGTTTAAATGAAATTAAACATTTCCAGATTTTTGATGGAGTTTCAGACCTTTGCACGTACAGTACTAAGGGTTTGGACAGGACATGCAGAAATATTGATGGAAACTTCAAAGCTTAGTCCACTACTAAATGTAGCCTGCCACTCACCAATTGTTTGTTCTTTACTAGCAACACTTTTTCAGGTCACCGTAAAATGGGAAGAGGTGACTCTGCAATCCAAACCGTGCCGATTCAGGCTCCATTACAGAGGTCGGGTCAGATTTGGCCGGTTTTTCTATCCCTTATAACTTGAAACCCACTTGGCACCGCAGCGCTGTCAGCTAGGTCACAGAACGATCACATTTGTCAGCACTGTCACACCATGTTAGTGCCCTAGATTTTGTGTGTTTCATGACAAAGTCACATTACATAACCTTGATTTTAGCTCGGTTATATAATCACACGTTACCATAATGTGCATCCAGCAAAAGAGGTCTGCATACGCAGTGCGATTCTTAAATGGCAGCGAGGCGACTTCCCTTTCCTGTGTACCACTAAATAATTCAGACGTCCAGTCAGAGCAGATTCAATGGTCCTGATTAAACTAAAAGCAGATCACTTCATAATATTACTTAACTAGAACAACTTGTCTAGCTTTACACCTCGGACCGAATGGCGGCACGTCAGTGGAGGAGCACGCACTGCGATATCATGAGCACACAGCGCCTTGTGGAGTGAACAAGTTCAATTAAGAGTTAAATTAAACAGCTTAAAGTATAATCCTTGGGTTATGATGAGATTATATTATATCCGTTGGTTTACATATGTATAAGGTCAGCTCAACTGATCAATGATTTCATGACAAGCATGTCCAGAAGCGGAAAACAAGAAACCATCGCTGCAAACGGACACCCCGACACCTTCAGTGGACACTCGCTTCATCAAATATTTACTTTTAGTGACTGGCAAAACTGCTCAAGCCCAGAATGGATGAAAACGAATAGCATTCAAAGAGACAGAGATTTCTGAGCCAGGTTGAAATCTACTGAATATAAATATAAAGCAGCATCACCATCACAAATACTCAGGGTTATGATTTGAACAAACCCCAAAGGGATGCACCGATGTATCGACCGATAAAAGCAATTATCTGCAAACTATCTATTATAAAACTAACTATCTAAAAGCAACTATCTATTATATATTCAAAACAGCCGATGATCAGGGCCGAATATATCCTGTCAATCAAAAGGGGGCAGAAAAACACGTCAGACATAAACTTGCATGAAGTTGTGTTGAATTTAGGGCTGTCCAAGTTAAAGTAATAATAAAGCATTAATGCAGCGTTATTAACGTGGGTTCTGTTTGACTCTATGAATCACCCACACTGTAAAAAAAAAACCTGTTGTTTTTACAGGAAAACGCTGGCAGCTGTGGTTACCAGAGAATTCCTGTAAAAAATACAGCAGCACAGTAGATGAACTGGCAAATTACAGACCCACACTGTAAAAAAAATTCCGTAAAATTTACGGTAAAAAACCGGCAGCTGTGGTTAATTTACAGTTAAATACCGTAATTTCATTAACTGATATAATGTTAATATACCAACTTATTGAAGTACTGAAATCTGTTTTGTACCTTTGTAATACACTGATAACCACCAAATGCAGGTGGTGATGAGAAAGTCACATGATGAACCAAAGCCCATCACAAGCAGCTTTTAAATAATAACATATATAGAAGGTGCACAGTGTCATTCACACAAACGCTAAACACCATCATGGTAACACACATGAAACTGAAATAATGCAATAAACATTAATTTAACAACATTAGGTGTAACACACAACCCTAATATACAAAACTGATAAGAAAAAAACTAAGAAGAAAGTTATTTTAACAAAAAAAACCCATCAAATTGGAAATGTAACGCAGGGAATTCTGGGAATGTCAATTTACGGTTATTCACTTTAAATTATACGGTATTTTTCACTTCCAAAAACGGTGTACTACCGTAAAATTTATGTCCAATACATGTAATGTCCAATACAGTTTTTCACCGTATATAGTAGGGGAATTTACCGTTAACCATTTAACAGGTTTTTACTGTAGCATTTTTACAGTCTTTTACCGTTAAATTCACGGTCATTTTTTACAGTGCATAGTTCAAACTAGGGTTGAACTACATTTCCCTTCATTAGTTATTAGTTAGCTATAAAAAACACTAGAGGGAGCTTAATTACTGTTAATTATACAGTATGTTGTAATTTTAACCTCTAATATTATATACCAAAAGAGAGGGCTCCCTGTATAATTTACAAAAAACAAAATTATCGGTTTCAGCAGGTATCATTCTGAATAATCGGCTATTGATATCGACTGAAAAATTTCGTATCTGTGCATTATATTGAATTTTAATATTCACCCCTGAGTCCTGACTTTTGTTTATTTTACTTTTAAAACATTTTATGTAAAAAGTATTTGCACATATATATTCTATTCAACAAATGATGCATTTATTTTGTAGTTTTGCCACACAAAAAAATGGTGGACTGTAATTCAATATTCTTTCTAAGTATGCTGTTATTTGATGTAAGTCTCTCATTGGAAGTCGTGTAACTGTGCTGTTTCTAACTGGATTTGAGGAACATTAACGAGAGATAGATCTATCGAGATAAAACTAACCGATAAAACCCAGATCACAGAGAAAGATCAACCTCTGGCTTCAGCACAATCCTCCAAATCTTTCTTATATTACATGTGGCCCGAAAAAGGAGACGGGAAAGGCCTCGTTTCGATTGACTACTGCATGTTTTTCAAATAAAATCCATGACTTTTTTTTTTAATCCATGACTTATTTGAGTTTTATCCGTGGGTTACAAAAAATAAAGCCTCACAGAAAGCGAATCATGTTGCGCACTCGTAGCACGTTAAAATGCAGGAATGTGTGACTTGGACTAGATAAGGTTTACGGCACTATGGCTTTTTATGATTGAATATTTCAAGGAAAAATAAACACGTTGGTGTGATCGTAAGAGGGGCAACAAGCCAGCCTCATTTCTAGAATCCAGAAAAGGCTTTTAGGGGGAAACAAAGCAGGAAATGCAGATAAGATAGTGATGTTTGAGAAGGCAGATAAACCCAACCACACAAGACATTGTCACTGGAAACACATTTCAGTTCATCAATACTCCATAAAACTGTGTGCGATCTGTCAATGCAAAAGTCAAAACTTTTCCACTCAGTTTTGAGTGGAAATTGAATGGAGGTGTGTTTAAGTTCTTGTTTTGAATGAAATTTTACAGAGCAATAGGACTCGTCTGACAAATTGAGCTAGAACTTTCACAGCTACTGATAAACGAAGAATAGAAGTTAGAAGAATAGTTTACCTGGAAATGTTTGTCATTATTGGACATTCTCCTATTTGTCGTCTTTTGTGTGAACACTGTGAGTATTATGGACTACTTTTTGGCTGTTTTTATGTCTTTTTGAAGCATGCTCACTATGAACTATCAACCCGATCTCGTGAAAGTGCGTTTAAATACGCACGCCAACAAATTTCGTATCATATGCACGCGAAAACTGCGTATCATATGCACGCCAAAGTCCATTTTTCCGTATCAATACCATGAGTTTTCGTTTTTATTTGGCGTACTATTTATTCGCATTTTCATGAGACCGGGCTCCAACTATCACTGTATGGACAAGAGCAGCATGATCTTTTTTTTAAAACATCTCCTTTTGCGTTTAACTGAAGAACAAAAGTAGTTTCATTCATTTGGTTCATACAAAATAAAAGTAGATCATTTTCTGCCAGGACATTATCTATTAAGTTCACAGACATTTCCTTTAACCCAATGCGGAATTGAAAAAAAGGGTAAAACACCTGTGTAATCAGTAGGCTATGGAAAATTTCTTCATATTAACACAATACATGGTGATTATTTCAGCAGTGTAGAATCTTCTTTAAACAGCCAAATAAGCTTTTATGAACAAGATTAGAATTTCTTGTTTTGGTGCCAATTTCGTAAATTTGACTATTTGAACTATGTTTTGCTTTTGATTGTTTTCTTCAATTAAATGTTAGTTGAATGCCTGTAGTCCTACTAAAATAATCAATTCGTTAACACGTTCCACAGAATAATAATGACATGTAATGTGCAACAGACCAAACCAACGTCTTGTGTTTTCAAGCAGTGTTGCTTTAGACCTCAGGATATTGTACAAAGTGAAAAGGACATGATCCGCGACAAAAAGAAAAGGCGAAACATGACGATTCCAAAACTTTATCAAACTAAAAGCTTCTTATCATCAGATGGGACCAATCATGAGTGGCCTCTGGTTAGGTTTGTTCATCTTTTCATGCGTCTGTCTGTGCTCTTTTCCTAGTCCACTATCAAAGAGCTCCAGATAACAGCCATTCACAAAAGCCCTATCACACAAACCCCTAAACACGACGAGGAGGAGCAAAAGCTGCGTGTGAGTGTGAGAATGGAGGAAGGGACCTAGAATGACAGACAAGGAGTAGGGAGGGGTGAGGAACCAAGAGAGAGACAGCAGCATTTCTGTGAACCTCCTGGAGGTAGGAGATCACATCAGGAGACATGATGCCAGGAACAGGGTCGTTTTGACGCACATTCCCTGGAAACGCAGGAGGAATAAGTGCTGCCATGATAACCATTCCCAAATGGGATTAATAAAGCACTTTATATCACCATCAGAAGCTTTACAGACTCACTCGCTCAGCCTAATTTCACAACTTCATGCTTTCTTCACCGGTCTTGAGTGGAGTTCTCTGGAGCGAGAGGCATCCATGCACATTCACTGAGCAGCATGTCCCATGAGAAGTACCATGAGGAGATGGACAGTGAGTAACAGTGTGTCTGCATGCTGGTCGGTGTGTGTCGTCTATCTTCTCGCAGTCTCCGTGATCTTCGCGTCCAGCGTCACCTGTCGCAGCGCATGTCCCGTGCAGCGGGCGCTCAGGGTCGCCAACTCCTCGCCCGCCTCCACCTCCGGCCGGCATGTGCGCAGCTACGTGCACCTCCAGGGAGACGTGCGCCAGCGGAAACTCTTCTCTTTCCAGAAGTTCTTCCTTAGGATCGGGAAAGACGGCAGAGTCAACGGCACCAAGAGCAAAGACGATCCCTACAGTGAGTCGCTTCATAATAGCCTATACACTCCGTTTATTCCGAATAATTTCAGTAAATATACGATTTCGAGTGTTTGGAGACGTTATGCATCACCTTATCTGTTAAGAAAATGCATTAATCAGGTTTAAAGGCACACTTTAGAGTTTTATTAAACCCGATTAAAATGTACATTTGACGAGTTTGAATGTAGCCTACAATTACTAATCATGCAATAATGGTGGTAATGGACGTTATGAACTGAATTGTGTCATTTAGATTTAAATTACGTCAAAAAACATTCTGATGTGAATAATAATAATTAGAAGAAGAGGGGGCTATTTAATTATTAGTTTTAAACTCTATTACTTGCTTATCATATGCTTAACAGATCAATAGTTGATGTATTGATGCATTGATGCATATATCTGAAAATATCTTATGTTTAATGAAGCTTCTAATGGTTTGAAAGTACTTTAATGCTCTTTTCACACACACACACACACACACACATATATATATATATGTATGTTTATTATAATAAAGTTTCTGGATTATGTCATTATAGGCAAACATATTGAACATTGTGACATGAAATTAATTATTTAAAATCGAATTAATTATTAAATTAATTGAAAAAATAAATTAAATTCGAATTAAATTATTACATTTATTGATCAAATTAGTTAAATCAATACATTTATTAATTAATAAAAATAAAAATCCAGAAATCCATTTAGGAATATTATTACTTTTATAAGTAAACTTTAATTTTATAATTAAATTAATAACTTTTTGTAACTTTTTTTTATAATAAAATTGTTAATAATTGATCATTTTTAGATTTTCTCATGTGCATTCCCATGCATATAAATCAAATTAAAAAAAGTCTTTTCGACTTTCTATTCTATTCTACAGACATTTCTATAACCTGCAATCACTTTTTGCAAATGGCAAATTATTGCAAATTATATCTAAGCAAAACACCTGATGCAAACTAAATTCAGGGTGCAGGCTGTTCTGTCTTAATGAACCACACAGGAATAATATTTAAACCCCTTTTAAATGCATAATTATGTCCTGACACCCAGAAACCTGAGAGTAATTAAGCCACATATTGCCATAAATGTTTTCCCTGGCACAGCAAAGGAGGAAACACATCCTTTATAATGTGATCAAAGGTTACACTTGTGTTTGCAATGGCTGTATCTAACAGAGTCATGGATCTGTTATTAGATTGTTTCTGGTTTGTTATCAAGTATTATGAGCCCATCAGGGAGAGGCACAATGTGTTTTCGGTGTTTTACGCGGAACAAGTTAATTAGCCATTACTCATATGGAGCCCATGTGCAGATAAGGGTCTTCCTGTTTCCTCTGCGTGTGTGAGTGTGTATTTGTGTTTGTGTTTGTCTGGTGTCTCGCACTGACATCCCTTCCTTTTTAAGGCCACGGGGCATCTTGATTTAGGCGTGTGTGGTTGTTTGTGTCTGGTGCTTTTTAAATCAAACTTTCATTTAATGTCTCAGTTTTTTTTCCTAGACAGCAGTGAGATGTCTACTGATTCTCAGATTGATCCCTTGACAAAAAGAGCCCAGGATGTCTCCTCTTGGGTTTCAAAAGAGATCCTAATAAGGTCTCAAACTGGACTTAGATATGCCGAGATATCTCAAAGCTGTCACTGGGGCAGCACCTTTTCAAAAAGGTACACCTTTGTACCTAAAGTGTTCATATTAGTACCTAAAGTGTGCAAATTAATACCTAAATGTGCATATTGTACATATTAGTACCTAAAATGTGCATATTAGTACCTAAAGTGTACATATTAGTACCTCAAGTGTGCATAAGTGTGCATATTAGTACCTAGTGTGCAAATTAGTACCTTAATGTGCATATTGTACATATTAGTACCTAAAATTTGCATATTAGTACCTCAAGTGTGCAAATTAATACCTAAATGTGCATATTGTACATATTAGTACCTAAAATGTGCATATTAGTTCCTAAAGTGTACATATTAGTGCCTCAAGTGTGCATATTAGTACCTAAAATGTGCATATTAGTACCTCAAGTGTGCATATTAGTACCTCAAGTGTGCAT